TCAGTTTCCGGGAATTACACAGACCTTGCTTCAATGGACTATATCTGATCATTACCCTATTTGTCTCGCCTTTGATGGTATCACGGCTCCCTTCAGGCTGGATAATAGGTGGGTGCATGAAGCAAAATTCAGGGCTCTGGTGGAGGAGAAATGGAAGGGTTATGAGGTATCAGGTACTGCTTCTTTTAGAATCGCGCGCAAACTGAAAATGTTTAAAAATGACATTAAAGAGTGGACTAAAGGGGAATTGAGAAAGGAGGAGGAATATATGGGCAGTCTGCTTAAGGAATTAGGGGACTTGGATGATAAGGAAGGTAGTGAAGGTCTGGATGTAAAGGAATTAAGTAGACAGGATGAAATTAAAGTGTTGTTTGCTAAACAGGCCAGAATTGAAGAACAAACATGGAGATAGAAATCCAGGGAGAAATGGCTAAAAGAGGGTGATAAGAACAATAAATATTTTCATGCTTTAGCTAGCCATCGAAGATGCAGCAATTACATTGAGGAGTTGTGGGTAAAGGGTGTGAAATGCATCGATAATGACAAAATGAGAGAGGCTGCCACATCTTACTTCAAAGAGTTATATGAGGAAGAGTTCAAGATTCGGCCGAGACTTGACGGTCTAACTTTCAAGAGTATTAGCGTGGATAGCAGGAAAAATATTGAGGTTGTTTTCACTGAGGAAGAGGTCCTTGCTGCCTTAAAAAGTTGCAATGGTGACAAGGCACCGGGACCGAATAGTTTTAATATGAATTTCATCCAAGTTTTTGGGGAGGTGATTAAAGATGATATCATGGAAGTTTTTAATGAATTCCATGAAAATGGAAAATTTGTTAGGTCCCTCAATGCCACTTTTTTGGTGATGATTGCCAAAAAGAAGGGGGCGAAGCATGTTAATGATTTTCAACCTATAAGCTTGGTGGGGTGCATTTATAAAATTATTGCAAAAGTCTTTGCGGCCAGGTTTGCTAGTGTTTTGGGTGAGGTAATTAATGAATGCCAACATGCGTTTCTGGAAGGAAGACAAATTCAAGATGCAATACTTGTGGCAAATGAGGTGGTGGATGAGCTGGTCATGAATAATATTGATGGCCTGATCTGCAAATTGGATATGGAAAAGGCATATGATCATGTCTGCTGGGATTTTGTCGACGCATGTTGGGAGGGTTGGGTGTTGGGCATAAATGGAGAATATGGATGAAAGCATGTTTGTGTACCACATCTTTTGCGATCTTAATTAATGGAGGGTCTTCCAAAATTTTTTCAAGGTCTAGGGGCTTAAGGCCAGGGGATCCATTTTACCCTCTCTCCTTCATTGTTGTCATGGAAGCTTTAAATGGACTGATGTATAGAGCTCGTGATCTTGGTCTGATTAGAGGGCTGACTGTTGGTAGAGGGGACAACAAAATGAAGATCTCATATTTGTTTTTTGCTGATGACACACTACTGTTTTGTCAACCGGAAAAGAGAGATCTGTTGTATCTCAAGAGTCTTCTCTTGTGTTTTCAAGCAGTGTCGGGCCTTAATATTAATCTCCAAAAATCTGAACTTGTTAGGGTGGAGAACAACGGTGAAGGCGACTGTTTTGCCAAAATATTGGATTGTAAGCTTGCCAAGCTGCCTCTCAAATATCTTGGGGTCCCACTAGGAGCTAAATTCAAAGATAAACTACCTTGGGATCCTGTAGTAAAAATGTTTGAATCGAGACTTGCGAGATGGAAAAGAGAGTTTCTATCAAAGGGTGGTAGACTCAGTCTTATAACGAGCACTCTTTTTTGAAAGAAAAAAATTTTTTTTTTTTTTGTAAGACTTATAACGAGCACTTTTGCTAATCTTCCTATCTACTACTTGTTTATTCTTACCATTCCATGTAGCATTGCTAAAAGGCCGGAAAACATTCAAAGCTGCTTCCTTTGTGGTGATGGAGAAGAAAAAAGAAAATATCAATTGGTAAACTGGTTTGAAATTAAGAAACCGAAAACGGAGGGAGGTTTGGGTATTTGCTCTCTTGTTGAAATGAATATGGCGCTTAAGGGCAAGTGGTTATGGAGGTACATGAAGGATGATGGAAAGCTTTGGAAAAACGTTATCGATGCTAGATGGAGTGGGGCTGCTCTTGAAAGGATAGGGGGGTTAGACAGAAGGGGTTATGGTCTGGGTCTGTGGAAAAACATAAAGAAGGGGTAGCCTGTTTTCAAAGAATGTATCAAGTGGCAGTTAGGCAGAGGCAATATCATCAGATTTTGGCAAGATAAATGGTTGGATGGGGACTGCTTAAAAGATAGATTCCCAAGGCTGTATGCAATTGCAGAAGATATATATATGCGGGTTGAGGGTGCGTATTCTTAGACGAATGGCAGCTGCTCTTGGTTGGTTAATGTTAAATGTAATCTGAATGACTGGGAAATTGGGGATTATCTAGAGTTATTGGGTTTGATTGCACAATATCAAATCAATGATAAATCGGACCATGCTATTTGGAGGCTGAACAAAAAGGGAGAGTTCTCTGTGTCTTCATATTATAAATGGATTATTGATAAGAATACCAGCAGAGGGTACTCTTCCCTCACAATCTGATTAGGAAAGCCAATCTTCCTCCGAGAATTGTTTTTTTCGGCTGGGAGGCTTGCAGGAAACGCATTCTAACTCTTGACAGATTACCAAAAAGGGGTTTAAGCCTAGCAACTCGTTGTTTTATGTGCAAGAAGGTAGAGGAGTCCTGCTACCACCTCCTCCTTAGCTGCCCGATGGTGTATAAGTTGTGGTGTATAAGTTGTGGTGTATGATTTATAACTTATGGTATTCTTTGGGTCTCTTCGGGTTCATGATCACAGAAGTTTGGGCATGGGGTGGGATTCACTCTACAAAGAATATTGTAAAGATTATTCTTTTGACTATTTTTTAGGTCATTTGGAAAGAAAGAAATTATAGAGCTTTTAAGGGTGTAGAAGTTGATAGACAAACTTAGAGATAGGTGGTTTAAGTATTTTGGGTCTTGCATATTGGGGCATGACATTACTAGGAATGAAGATTTTGGGAATGTCATTGATACCTTTACGTCTCTGTAAATTCCTTTGTATACGGGCGGTACCCCCTTTAGTGTCATTCTAATTTTATTCTAACTTTTTCTTTTAAAAAAAATTAGCTTTCTTACTCAGGCAAAGTGCTTGACAAACAGTGTGTGATCTAACTGGCATTGCTCATATCCCACTCGTTTCACTGTCTCGTGAATCTATCAAATCACGCTCTTGGGGATTGTTTAAGTCCATAAAGTGACTTTTTGAGTTTGCACACCTTATGAGAGTTGTATGTCATTTCAAGTCCTGGTGGAATTTTCACGTA